AATTTGTTCCAATGTCCATCTCATCAATTCAAAACAACCAGAGGATTTCTCTTTAACTTCATAATGGCAATGAATGTTAATTCAAATATAACTACTTCTGCTCACTATTCAATTATTATATTACTTGTCTCAGTCACCAGTTCATGTGGAACTATTGAAGTATAGAGCACAGACTCTAGTACAAGTTTTACAAAATAATTGTTTTGATTCCTTGTAATTTTTAGAAGGATATTGCTTACTCTTCAGTAATTTTCAATTTCTAAATAACCAATCATAAAGTGTACTTTCTACATAATCTTTTAAAGATTAATGGGAAGAAGGAATTTGCGCTTTCTGATGAAGTACAGAACTATATAATAGAAAAGAAAATCATAAAAGCTTCAATATATACTAAACCAGCAATGGACAAGTAAAATGTGTCCTTCAAGATTTTATAATCCCTGTGTTATTTTGTTATTGTGTATGGTGCAAAAAAACATATTGGTATTCTGAAATTTTATCCACATAAGATTTTCTGCAAATACTAGATCCTCTGTTCATTTCTGCAAATTCACTACCCATATGTTTGCTTCCCAGGCTACCTGAGTTGCACAGTGCAGCTATGTTTGGTAAAGTCTCAGACTGTATTAGTTTATATTAACCACATAATTAATTGGTGATGCTGTAACATGTTCAGCAATGGATATAGTGTACTTGACCATCATTGACCATCGTTGACCATCATTGACCATCATCATTACCTGTCTTCCTTTTCTTCTTTCCTGGGTCACTTTCCTTTTTGCATATAGTTCTATTTCTACTGTCATGTCTTGCTATGTATATTTAATTGTATCATCACCATGGGAAAAAAGCAGCTGAAGGAGTCTGGAAAATTGTTAACGTACAGAGAGGTTTTGGACAAATATTAGGTCTCCAGTTTCCTAAGTAGATATCGTCAGCCACATATATAAGCAGAGGCTGTGCTTTAATTTTCCAGACTCCCAGACCCAAATAATCACACAGAAACTATTTAATTACAACATTGTTTAGCTGATGGTCAGGCATATTTCTAGCTAGTTCTTACATTTCAAATTAACACATTTCTTTTAATTACATATTATCACTGTGGTCTACCAGTAAGTATCCAGCATCTTTCTCCTTTGGCAAGTAAATGACATCTACCTGACACTGTTTTCTTTCTTCCTGCATTCAGTTTAGCTTACCTGCCTAGCTCTACTCTACCTTACTGTAGGCAAAAGTGGCTTCTTTTCTTTAATCAATGGTAATAAAATATATTTACAGCATGCAGAGGAGAATCCCACATCCCATATAACTTAATGTACAAATAATAATACCAATAATGATAAAATCATAAATGGGTGGTTTAATCTAGGTGATCACATTACAAAAAGAAATCTAGCAAAATTATCAATATTAGAGTTCTTGATACAAACTCTTCTCTCTTGCAAGATAGTCTGACAAATTGCTAATATCTGTCATACCCTTAGGACATCTAAGCAGTTCTTATAAGATGATTTATCTACAGTGTGCTGCTTCAGTCTGATGGACATTTGCCCCCATTAGGGTATAGTACATCCTCCAAGGATTTGCTTTTCCTATAATACAAGTTGTCAGCCATTTCAGGACAATTACTTTTCTCTGAGGCTTCGATCTTGCGAACCTATGTGAAGAATCAATAGTAGCATCTGTAAAATGTTAACTAGATTGCTCCTATGAGCTAAACTTTCAACTGTGATTTGTATAGGAACAATATAACTTAGACCATATGTTTCTTATTGCCAGCTGATGTCTTGTGGGCAAATGCATATATGCATTTAATTTTAATTTCAATGACTATTGACAAGATTATAGATATTCTGGAAGAGAATAATTGCTTGTAGCTTATGAGCCAGGAAGCACACATTACTCTAAGTTATAATATTATAAAGTATATTGCCTTTTTCCCTCTCCAATTAGGAAGAAAGAATGTTTTAGAAAAATCTTAAAGTATTAAAAACACTATTCAAAGTGTCAGTGTTAGTGTTAGTATGTTAAATCTCTCCTGACTTAGGAAAACTGATTATTTAAAATCAATTGTATGGAAGGTACTTTTGGGACAGCAACAATGTTTAGGGCACACAGTTCAAAGTTTCAGTTGACCTTTTTAAACTATTTGGAATCTAGATATAATATAATAACATTTAAAAATAAGAGACAAATTTAATTTACTAAAGCCTTAAGTTTTTGAATACATAAAAATGAGCTTTGATTACTAGGAAACAAGAATTGCTACTATAGTGGTTTTAGCATGTGTATTGAAATATATTTAAAGACAAAAAGAATATTTTGAAATATTTTCAGTAAACAGCTATCTATATAGGTATTTATCTTCCTTATGCTTTTTGTTGTGAAAGAAGAAGATGCATTTTATTTATGTTAGTTTTGCTATTATAAAATAGGCTTTTTGCATAAAATAATATAACTATGAACTAATATATTGATTCAAGTTATTCCTGTCTTGAAAATCAAAAAAAGTTATTCAATTAAATATGGTACTATAATATAAAAATATCTGAGTTAATGACAAGTATTTTTACATTCAATATAGCTAATTAAAAAGCTAATTTTTAAGAATTTTGATTATTTATGTAAGGCCATACAAACAGTAGGTAACTAGCTATGTAGTCAAGAAATCAGGGACAATGAGAATTGCTTTTCGGTCATATGAACCTTAAACCATACATCACAGGAGTTAGAACAACCAAAATGCATATTGGTATAATTATCACTTCTATTGACATTTCTTTTATAATTATTTTGTTTTAATATAAGATTGTGTTTGCTACAGTTTCTATAAAGTCTTTAGAAAGGTAATGAGTTACTTCCTGTCATGAATGAAGGCATAAAGAAGCTCCATTATCAATACAAAGATATTCCTTTTTGTAGAGCAAAGGTAGTGATCCCCTAAATGCTGGTGTTAGGAGGAAGTTGACAATTAAAGTAAGTCTACTGTCACAAGGACTTACTATTTTCTTTACAGAAAGGAATTGGTCGATAAAAGCTTGGCTCAAGCTCCATGACTATTTTTTTTTAAAGAACTTGTCTTTCACCATTTAATTGGCATATTAATGATAGTCCTATGCAGCAAATCATATCATTAAGTTACCTAGAGGGACACTTTCCCACTAGTTATCTGAAATCATTCCCTGGGTACTCTATTTCTGCAAATTAGGCAGGCTACAAATGCATAATTGAGATTCTCATGCCTAGGGGAGTATTTAGTTACACCCACTTTAATTTTTTTTCTATTCCCTAGGAATAGCAATTAGGGGATTAAAATATCTCCCTGTCTTAAGTTGAATGGGAAATGAAATTGATTTATATTCAAAAATATTAATCCTCTCCATGATTCCTTAAAATATCACTGTAAAAGGATGTATGGTTTAATTTATTAGGTGAAAGAGTTAAATTATTTATAATTCAGAAGAGAATAGTATGTCAAATGCTTGATTTTCAGAAATGGCCTATTGGAAATTTAGAAACTCTATATACCTGTCTAAAAATCTCATAATTTATACTTCATTACAGATTTGGGTGTATACACAAAAGAACATCCTATAGCTATCAGATGACATAATCTAAGATTTCATATGTGACTTCACAATTTACCATTTATCTGTAGCCCCAGACCATAATTTCATAGACTAGCCTGACTATTGGGGATTATGCTACTGATACAGGGACATAAAAATATCAACAGCTTTATGCAAACTTGTCTTCATACAACCAAAACATAAATAAAAATTACTATAAAAATCTGATACAGGGGACTAGAGAAATGTCATAGCAGCTATGACTAGTAACATTCTTGCATAGGACCTGGGTTTAGTTACCAGAACTCTTCTGTAACCTCCTGTAACTGCAATTACATAGGGTCTAATGCCCTCTTCTAGATTCAACTTGCAACAGCGTAAGCATGACAAATACACAAGGCTATATAGCCAGGCATGTGAACAACAGACACAATACTAAAGTTTTAGGATAATCTGATAGAAAAAGTTAGTATATCAGGAACTTTTATATTTTGAAAGGTTAATATAATGGAGCACAATGATCATATTGCTTTAGACAATTTCATTCAGAGCATTAATAAACTATTTTCTTCTTTAAGAATAGTAGTTTTGATATATTTTAAAATATCAAATGCTCTAAAATTTTTACAGAACAAATAAAATAATATTTAGATAATAATATATAAGTCAGGTATGATGCACTTTAAGCAAGATATTGTAAGACTTAATGCTAAAATCACAAAATCCCAGTGAGTTTGCTGTTTGCTAAGTTTTACTGTAAGATTGAGGCTATAGTGTATATATAAGGATTGAGGTAATAGATAAGATTGACTGAGGAAGGGTGGGAGAGAGAGAAACACCAGAGGAAGAGAAAGAAGACAAGAAACAAAAAAAAATTTCTCCAAACAACAAGAAAGCAACCCATATTTGGCATTTCAGTGTTCATGGAAAGAATACCATGAGAAAACATTACTGAAAATTTGTCTGCTATAATTTCCTTGTGCGTTTTTTTAATGAAAAAGGCCACTTAAAATATACACCTGTAAATACTTTAAAGGATTCACTTCATAGATAGTTATCCACATCATCAAATGTTAATAATAGTCTCTGACAATTATTCCATGATTCATCTTTTCTATTTTCAGTCTAAAAGTGATTGTTAACCAAGTTTCTATGTAAGAAATTAAGAGTAAAATTAAATAGGTGGAATTAAATTACCATTGGATTAATTTGCAAAATGATCAGTCCTCAGCTAGTGTATTACCTTTTATGTAGAAAAATATTCAAGCAATGTTGAATTCATTAAATTAGCAACTTCACATATCAATTTTTAGAAAACTGAGAAAACACACAGTTTGCATTATTCCAAAAAAAAAAAAAAACCTTAAGTTTAGCATACAAACTTCTCATAACACTCTGTTCCAAAAGTTCTTTTCTCTCCTTTCACAGAAAGATAAGGAAGACCAGTGGCTGGAGAAGAAGGTGCAGGGGAATAAAGACCACATTATTCTGGAACATCTGCAGTGGACGATGGGCTACGAGGTGCAAATCACAGCTGCCAACAGATTGGGGTATTCTGAGCCCACTGTATACGAGTTCAGCATGCCCCCAAAGCCCAACATTATTAAAGGTAAGCAAGATGATATCCTTTCTGAAAATTAGTACTATCTGATCCTTTTACTCCTGTGGTATATTTCACTAGTAATGAATATTAAACTTGATAAACTGAAATGTCATTTCTATTTTCTAAGCATTATTGTTGCATGCCATAATGAAGTTTCACAGTTATTAGCTTGAGTTATTAGGTACTTTGAAGAACTTGCTTTGACAGCTTTAGCAATACCAGTGAACAGGGGATGACGGATAGAGGGAGTGAACTGAAGATGAATATGACAGATGAAAAACCGCCTTAAAAAACGTGGTGAGATGAGAAGAAACATTTGCAACGATGGCTTATCTGCCAAGCAACTGGGAGCTTGTTTTCCAGCTCCACTTAGGTTTCTCTACAGCTGAAGACAAGCTCACCCATGCTTGACCCATATCAGTGAGTAGGAAGAAAAATCATTGAGGCAAAAACAGTTTAAATGCAATTTTGCTAAGAACTAAAGCTGGAGATACTACAAGGGTCAAATGTATCAGGGAACTTTTAATCTGTTTTTAATACAAACCAATCAAGATCTCTGATGATACTTATACATTGCAAATTAATATGCTGATAAAATTACCTAGTTATTAAAATTATTCTCAAATATATTCTATGAAGACAACAAATCCAGGTCATATGATAGTTCAAAAGGATATTCAGTTATCTTCGTTTTGATATCATTATTTGGTTGAGAAATATGTTTGTAATATATATTTATTCTATTCTATTATATTATATTTGGATTTGCATTTTCCTGATCGCTAAGGAGGTTGAGCATAACCTTAAGTGTCTTTTAGCCATTTGAATTTCTTCTGTTGAAAATTCTCTGTTCAGGTCAGTGCCTCATTTTTTAATAGGGTTAATTAGCATTTTAACGTCTAGTTTCTTGAGTTCTTTATATATTTTGGAGATCAGACCTTTGTCTGTTGCGGGGGTGGTGAAGATCTTCTCCCAGTCAGTGGGTTGCCTTTTTGTCTTAGTGACAGTGTCCTTTGCTTTGCAGAAGCTTCTCAGTTTCAGTAGGTCCCATTGGAAATATCTTTATTTCTACACACACACACACACACACACACACACACACACATTATATATATATATACATACATACATACATACATACATACATACATACATACATACATACATATATATGATGAGAACAAAATTTTGATTCATAAAACCCTGGCTTATTTCACCTGTAACACAATATCCTTAATAGGACACAATCTTTTTCAATTAAGGAGAAAAAGTCACTTTGACTATATCACTTACCTTATAATTTCAAGGTGACATCAATGTGACCATTTTTAAACGCTAGTCCTTTCAGGTTGAAAGATATTTGATAAAATTAATTTTGCATTAAGTTATGTTATGCAGATTATAAAGTTTCAAAGTAATTAAAATGTGGCAAAGTGTTGCTAATATTTACTATCAAGTACCACAGATCTTGTGTTTTCAAAATGTGTAAGTTAGGCTTCTTCAGAAATAGTATTTTTATTTTAATATTATTTTTTATTCCCATTTCACCACATTATATTCTTAAGAGTCATCAAGTAAGTTATACTCATGTATGCCTATGACTTTAAAGGTTGAATGACTGTCGCTTTTCAAGTGTAGTTGCTTGACTATTGCCCTTTGGAAATGAATGAAATGATTGATTTTCATAAGTAAAAGTGTTTGAATATAGTATGTCCTATCAATCTATTTGTCCTTATGAATTTGAAATACCAATAACATCTTCTACAGTTATAGTATGCTTGTGGCAATTATATTCCTTGCATGTCTCTCAAAGGTGAATTAAATATGATCTCAAACTGAATCAGTGTAGCTGACCACGGAATTGAAAGTACATCCCACTTTGAGAGTCCTCAGAAAAGTTATATAGTCAGGTGGAATTATGGCTAATTTTTAGTCAAACATTGTGTTTAATTTCAAACATCAATGAAGATCTATATGAAGTGATGAATATAAATTTTAATAGGTACAAATGCAGTTACTTCAATAAAGTTCTGGTGTCTTCAACATCCTTGTAGAGAGACAATAATTGGCACTTTTTATATATAAAACCTACAAGAAAGGAGCTTGAATTATCTCAATCAAAAATATTGATAAATATTTAAGAAGATGGAAATGAAAATTTCCATCAGAGTATATTACATACGTGCATCACATTATCACAATGTACCCCATAATACTTTTATTTATCAAAAAAGTTTTCCTATAAAATGTAGGATTAAATTAAAATAATTTAATAATCATAAAATATTTAAAAATAAACTATAGCTATGCTTTTTATTGTTGTGTTCATAGAATTGTAGACATAAATGGGCAAATAAGTAAATAAGTAACATATATGTCTGCAAACAGTACATAGATCAAGAATTAAAGTAACATATTAATTATAAAAGTATTTTTTCTTTTAGTTTGTAAAGTTTTTAATTTGACAGCTCATAGAAAACCAGAGATCGAAAGTGAAGAAAATTATGATTTTATTTTTTCATAATATGATTTGTATTGAAGTTGTACTTTTGGCAAGTACTGACAAGGATTCATCTGTGCAAACAGTGGAATCTTTAGCTGATCATACTTAATGCAGTAATTATTGCATCAGACAACAGGCAAAGAGCCCAAGAATGACATGTGCCTGTCAAACATGCTACCTTGACCACATTAACGAGGAAGCCTGAAATAGGATAATAAAATGGCTCCCCTAGAAGAAACTTTCCAAAAAGACTTAAAATAATTAACTTCTAGATATGTGTGTTTCATGTAAGACATCTTTGACAAAAGTAACTGTTTCCTTTAGCAATTAGAAAAAAAAAGTACATTTAATGAGAATTTGTACATGTATGCCTCAAGAGAATTCTAGGAAGGACATTGTATCTGAATGGTCCATAAAAGTCATAAAATTAAATATGACACATCTTTTTTGTTGTTGTTGTTAAAATAAGGCATGGATGTATGCTGAAATGTTTATTCTTTTTTTTTTTCTTTCTTTCTTTATTTTTTAAAGATTTCTGTCTCTTCCCCCCCAGCCGCCTCCCCTTTCCCTCCCCCTCCCCCAATCAAGTCCCCCTCCCTCGTCAGCCCAAAGAGCAATCAGGGTTCCCTGACACATCTTATAGGGAAAAAGGTAGTACGTAAGATGTATAGTCATTACATGTGTTACATTCATGTGACTAAGTACATGTGATGAGACGTGAATTCTATGAAAAGGTCACAGAATGGAAAAAGGGAAAGAATCAACTGTAACCACACTGTGGGAGGAAACTCACAAGACCTATCTACTAGACTGGATTTAATAGACCAGATTACTGTTTACTTCTTCGTAAGCATATTTTCTCCAGTTGAATACTTTTGTAGGACAGATTTGTTTGTAGAATGACAGCCACATGAAGCATGGAATGTCAAATTATTAACTAGATATGCCTATTGCAGATGAGATGACTATGACTTAAAAATTTATATTCTGTGTCTATGAGAATTAACAGATGAATGTTTTTTTTTCTTTTTCTATTGATTTTATTGAGCTCTACATTTTTCTATGCTTCCCTCCCTGCCTCTCACTTCCCCCTTTCCCCCTTCCCATGGTCCCTATGCTCCCAATTTACTCTGTAGATCTTGTCTTCTACTACTTCCCATGTAGAACAGATGAATGAATTTTGTGAATGGGTAGAGACAATAACACTAAAAATCATTATCTAAATTCCATGAAAAAATTTCTGTTTGTGATATTCCTCCAAATTTTCTCTGTTCTGCAAGTACCCGGTCAAGGTGTTTAAGGGATCCTTCTTGATTGCTGAAGATAGAATCCCAAAACTATCAAGTACCAGGAACTGGGATATAAAAAGAAAACTTATTTTCATCCATTATCTTCCGAAAATTAAGGTCTTGCAGAGTCACTGGAATAAAATATTAGTGATATCATGAAATTTAGGATGTATGTTCTGAAGTATATAAACAAAGTGTTAAATGCTGCTGGGAAAAAGTAATCAAAATACATATATGTCATTGCATAAAGTTTTGCCAGAGAGTGATTAAGAGAGATTTTAATAAGAAATGGGTCAAGGTTGTCATACACACCTGCAAGACTTCATTTACTTCTTTGTTAATAGTTACAAGAGCTTTCCTGCCAAGGTGGGTAGAGGAAGTGGAAATTATTAGAAAGAAATTAAGATGGAGAGACTGGATTGTTTCATATCTCATGTAATAAGACCTACTCATAAGGTAGACACAAATGGAATTCTCGTCAAGCCATCTTATAAAGAAGGAGATTATTTCATTCTCTATTGTACAATGTACAAAAAGTCAATACTTATAATGGGAAAGAATTTAAAAATTAACATGGTACAAAAATTCCATAAAGTATTTTACTTGATATACTGATAGAATCCAGTGATTGACAAGTCTATTGTGCCACATAAAAGGCACGACTTAATAGACTAAGAATTGTGTAGTTAGTATTATGAGATAATCCTTACAATTGTGATGACAAATAATTTTGAGGCATTTAAATACATAACATTCAGCAATGTTAAATTATATTTTCCATAGTATTTAAAATACCTTCATTGGTTTTAATCACAACTCTTATGATTTATATTTCCAGTATTAAGTAAAGGAATAATTCGTCCTCATTACCTGAGATTTTATGAATAAGATACTGGTAAATAAAAATCCTTCTTTAAGACCGGGAAGATAAAAAAATTTGAAGTTTAAATTGATTAATTTTTTGTATAGATGATCTTATGCAATATTCATCTATATACAGATATTTTTTGTCATAAAGTTTATTACTCATATGCATTTATAAATAATTATCTTCCAAATAATGGGCTTCATATAAAGTTTAGATATGAATTTTAAGAATACAATTTTATGCTGTAATAACCTGCTCGAATTATATTCATAAACAGCATATTCCTTTTTAAATTCTTTTGAAGTATTTTTCTATCTGTTTATTTTGTTAGACATTGTATTCCACT